GCTTATTTGATTTCTTCTCAGTTACAGTCTCTGTTGTCCACTCAGCTCAAGTCAGCTGACTGTTCTCACACGGCCTTCTCGTGTTCAGTGTGTGTGTGAGAAAGAAAAAGAGAAAGCATGTGTGAGCTCTTTCCCTTTTATTTTATTCTGTCTTATGAGATCAAACTAGCTGCATATGAAAAATCATTGTAGGTATTTTTTCATTCTTGAAAGGTAGATCTGGGGTTGTGACCTTTAACAGGATTAGGATTAAAGTCAGCTGCTATAGGGGGACGATAGGTGCTTTGGGTTTACCGTGTTCTCTTTGGGAGTCTGGAGCTCAAAAAACAAACATAATATTGTTTTATCAGCTTAATTACTATTATTACTTTTCCCAAATTTTGTGAGAATTGCTTACAACTCTGATTTTGAGCTGACAACATGTTTCAGAAATCCATTCCAGAAACATCTGTTTGGGGGCTCAGGGACCCCGGCTGTAAAACATGTCTAAATACAATGGATTTTCATATGCTATATATCTGTGACTGATGCTGACAGTATATTTTATACAGCACTGCCTCCTAAATGCAAAATAATAATTATTTTTTTCTTGAAGTAAATTGCTTTTTTTGGGGGTTTTGACATGCTCGAAAACGCACTAATTTTTGCATTTATTGCGTTAGTGGGCGGGGCAAAATGGCTTGGCGACTAAACCCAAACGACCTCGTTATGATTCCCAAAAACGCCAAGACAAAACTCGAGGCAAAGCGAGGATCTATATAGGAGATGCTTTTGAACGGTGGAGACGGTTGAAAGCAGAGAGGAATTTGAAATCGGATGTTGAAGTGGCTACTCTTCTCCTTGACAGGTAAGCTTTAGCCAAAGTTGGCTAACTAGCATCATAGCTAGACGGGGATGGACATTTCGAATACTTTCAACTGTTATTCATTTTCGATCATACATTGTAGCCCATGTGCAGGTGGGTCGTCGACCCGGCAGATTTTTTTGAGAAACAAACGCAGCACGGCAAGCAGCATTAGCAGTGTACTGGTACATAGCATTAGCAGCTGGCTCCTCCTCCGCTGTATCCCAGCAAGCGGCCAGACTTTCTTGAACGGGGGGGCAGACACGACGTGCGGCAGTATTTTGAATTTGAGTGCAGTAACCGTTTTGGCCACATTCTTACATATGGTGCCTTTAAAGAGCAGCGCCAGCTGCATGTTTCACCGACATGCACGAAAATCGGTTCACACTTGTATCATGCCCAGATGCACAAAAAGTCTCTTGAACCCATTGCCTAAACCTAACAGGAAATCGGCCATTTTGAATTCCGTGGTCATTTTTTGCCAATTCCCATGTGTTGTATTCTAACAAACTCCTACAGATTTAATCAGGTTGCCTTCAAATTTTATGTGAGCTTGACTCGTTTTATGTGAATTCATTTTATTGGTGTAGTATATCAGCTGAGAGGCCTAACAAGGATTTAGACCTCTTTGACTCCAAACAAAAGTGACATCACTCTTTAGGATCCCTTGTTGTACGTATCTTTGTGACTGACTTTTTATTTACATATACCCAATATAACAGATAAAACAGGAAATGTTTCCTTATTTGGTGTAATCACAATGTTTTTATGGTCATTTTAGTGTTTTACCCAACTTCATGAAATGAGCAGGGCAAGCCCAGTTTGTGGCGAAGGGATAAGGTTCAATACTCAGCTACATGTTGGGGTTAAATGAGGTCAGAGGCAAAGGCAATATTCAAAGGAAATAAACTGGTTGATTTTGTAGTTAATATTGTTATTTACACGTATAGCAGTGGGGTCTGTGGGACCCCCAAAATGGGAGGTAAAACCAAAGTCAGCATGTCTAGTTTAAGATATTATGGATACCCTGAACAAAAACTGTGATTGGAAGTACGAGCACATTAGTCCTGTGCTCAGGTCTCTACACTGGCTTCCTGTGGCTCAGAGAATAGACTTTCAAGCTGCTCTGCTTGTGTACAAGTCTCTCCACGGTCTAGCACCAAAGTACATCTCTGACATGTTAGTGCCATATGAACCATCTCGGACTATGAGGACCTCAGGGACCGGCCTCCTGCTGGTGCCCAGAGTCAGGACTAAACATGGGGAATCAGGATTCCAGTTTAATGCAGCTAAAATCTGGAACAGTCTTTCTGAAGATGTGAGACAGGCCTCTACTCTGACAATGTTCAAATCTAGGCTCAAAACAGCTCTATTTCACTGTGCATATGACTGAAAGGATCTTATCTGCACTCTTCTCTTTTAAAGTTCATTTTATAATGATTATTTATGTTTTTATTTTGTATTGTGATTTTAATGCATTTTCTTGTTCTGTAAAGAACTTTGAATTACTTTGTGTACGAATTGTGCTCTACAAATAAACTTGCCTTGATTGTGGTTAATTTCAGAGAATGTGCTCACATGTGGAATATTACAAGTATGTGTGTTTTTATTAATGTGTCTGCTTTGTGTCCTCAGAGTCAAGACTAAACATTAAGAAGCAGCGTTTGGCGACCCCTAATGAGGCTGTGCGTCCCAATACCCATACTGCCATACTAAACAGTATGCCAAGAAAAGATTCAGTATGTCCCAATACACAGTATGTCAAATGCAGTATACCAAAAACACCAGGATGCTCTACTACATCCGGTCCCATTTCGCTGTGTGCAGGCCAGCATGCTTTCTGGCTAATCATGACTCACAATCCTCAGCACAGCGGATGGTACATCACATCCACTGAGCTGCAAACAGATGATGGCTTGACAGCTGACTGACAGCTGTAAGAAGTCGCAGCGATGGCCGGTCAAATGGTAATAATAGGAGTATTTATCGTTTAAGTGAGCAAAATAATCATAAATATTACAAACGACAACAGGACATAACTATAAAAATAACAGTGACAGAGAGCTGTCGCAAAAATAATGTTAGAATCTACAATCTGTGCAGTTATAACTTTAAAGTTAAACTACATATATTGCAAAGGAACTACAGCAGATCTCTCCAGATATCTGGCGAACTCGGTAAGTGGCGTTTATCTTTTATTTCCAAGATAAGAGATATAAGAGTAAGAGGGTCAAAGTTCAGGGCGTAATGTTATGAGAAAGTAGAATGTCCTGATTGTGTGCATACTGCATGCACCAGTGCACACTTTTTTAAGGGCAGCTGCAGTATATACTATAAGTAAAGGAAAAAGTATATGATTTGGATTGCACCCAGGGTCTGGGCGCCAAAATGAGACCTATGTGAATTTGGCTACGTCGTGCCGTTTGTGTTATTCATGCAGACAGTAATAACAGTATAATAAAAACAGTATAATAGTAATAGCTTTCATTTATTACATATTTCTATGTGTTATATTTCAAATGTTTAATTTCTTTGTGGTGGGGGACCCTCAGACCCCCCAGCAGATTTGGCTACGGCCTTGGATTGAGGACCCACTTTTCCGAGTATGTGTCAGCCCTCTGATGACAGCACCTGCACCTTGCCCAGGAGGTAATCGTCACTCCGGGATTACGCACCTTTGACCTCCAGCACTGTCAACACTGTCAACACTAAGCTGCTCACTGAGATGCCAGTGCGACCAAATCCACCAGCAGCAACCGGTTTGTCACATGACCAGCGTGCAGCTCTGCCTCTGTGTGTCTCTGTGGCTTTTTTATTTCCGCGTTCACCGAGGGAGCTGCTGGGCTGAATGAGTCTTCACGGCCGCTCTGTGTCTACACCTTTCACGCCGCGGAACTGCGTCGCCGTGCGGGGAGGATCTGTCGGGCGGGGGGAAGCTCACGCAATCGCATCGCCTGGACCCACGCTGCAGCAGGACCATGCTCACGCGGGTGAAATCGGCGGTGGCCAATTTTATGGGAGGTATGATGGCCGGTGGCTCCAACGGTGACCATCCCGGTGGCTCGGATCTGCCGCTGAAATACCCGTACAGCAGACCGGAGTTCCTGGGACTGTCTCCGGACGAGATAGAGTGCTCGGCGGATCACATTGCGAGACCGATCCTCATCCTGAAGGAGACCAAGCGGCTGCCGTGGTCCACCGGCTACGCAGAGTAAGTAACCTGTATGCGTCCATCTTTTCTTGCACAGCATCCTCTGGAAGTAAACGCGTCCGCCCCGCACCGCTAAGGCGCAAATATAAGCGCTTATAATAACATCATGTCAGGATTCATGTGTGTGTGTGAGAATAAAAATAGGCCAAGGTGCTGCAGCTGGCCCACATATTCCTTCAGTAGGAGCCTACATCACAGTATAAACACCACCAGAGGACACAAACATCCACCAAACAGATAAGGTCGCTGTAATCTAGGCCATAAAGGCAGCTTTATTATTGTGATTGTGTAAGGTGGTGCAGACCCACTGTAAAAGAGGGCAGTATAGATCTATGTGTAGTTTTTTTAATTGCAGTAACATGTTTTATTGGCACAGTCACCTCTTCACCTGTGTCACTGCTTCATTGTGTGCACAGTATTAACACTGTCCCAGAAAAGCCAGTAAAACCTGACCCTGTTCTCCAGATGTAACCACATCACAGCAATCACTTGAAGAACAGCAGCTTTGAAGTGTTTGTTCGTTCAGTGTTTGCCTTGTCACACACTCAAAGTCATCCTCCTTCCACTTGACGGCCCGAGAGCAGGATCACAGCCGGACCTGAGATCATCTGTTGTATTATTGATATCACATCTTATGTTTGGGCGTGCACAGTCCATTTGGCTTCCCCGCATCCTCCTGCCAAGGATGTAATAAGCTGGCTGCGTTGTAATTTTAAAAGGACATATTATAAAGAGCATGCAGTGCAGCAGTTTGACTCGTGAAAGGGCAAGTTGTGGCTTTAGTATGGGGGGTGCAGCTGCAAAGAAATGGCAGGACATGAGAAAATGCAGACATGGTGGAATATTTTTCTAACGGCAACAAACAGGAGAGGAGTTATTTAATTTGCATGCTGGTGAGAGCAGCATGTTGTACACCCCCTCAGGCTAAAACAAGACCTGCACTATACAAACAAAACCATGTAGTTTACATTTACCTTGGACAGAACGTAACTCAAAAATAGGATTAACTCTTGCTCTGATCATCGTCTGACGCCTGAGAGCACAATCACTTTATACATCTCCACATGAAGTATCTGGGTGGTTTGGTGGTCAGTGATGCTGCTGCCTCATAACTATAGAGGTCACACATCAGTCCTTGAGGCACTCCTAACTACACAGAGTGTGACACAGCAGTCCTGAATTTGTAAATTCACAAAAAAAGAGTTAGTATGCTCTGTGTTTTCCTTCGACATAAACTCTTATCATCTTCTGCTGATAGGATGTTATGATAGAGCGCCTGTTTCCTTGAGGTTAATTGTTTAATCGATGATGTTAGACGTTCAGTAAGAACGCTGCGTGCAGAAACTCCCCCCCTATCTGCTTGCATCTAGTGTTTCAACTTCAGCCGTCCTGCCGTGAACCCAGTGTAGATGTGCAAGTGCTTGTCATCTTAAGTCAGCCAAGGCTTCGACACAGCTGACCAGGTCAGTGTCACTGCCTCAGGCAACTGTTCTTGGTTTACAAGACGTCAAAAGGACAGGGTAACATTTTAGCAGCAAGGAGAGGAAGACGAGGGCTGCGACTAAAAAGTTTCAATAAAACTGTTTATTTTTCCTGTTCATTCATTAGTTGTTTACAGCATCAAATGTCAGAAAATAGTAAAAATAAATGTCCAGAACAATTTTCCTGAGCTGGAGTTGATGTCTTTAAATTGCTTGTTTTGTCTGATTAACAGTCTAAAACTCTAAGATTTTTGAATTGCTGTGATGTTTAAACACAAAAAAACAGGGTGTCCAGGTTGTGAGGCCTTAACTACTACAGACATTTTGTCTAATTTCATTTATACACCTTTAATTTCTTTTTGTGAAAAGGAGTAAAGCTTTTCTATGTAAAAGTCCACATTTCTTTTTTTTTTTTATTTATCAGGTCAGTTGAATCTGAACAAACTGACAGTACTGTTATTGGAACTCATCATATCCACAGGCACCTGGTAGCTACACATTCTTGTACCCTTAATAGTAATACAGTAACCACAGCGGTACAACTAAACACCACATTGTGACAGTTCAACAGACATATTACAGACAAAAAAAGCCTGCTCATGACCTCTTAAAACTTTCAACTTCATTGCTGATACGTGTGACACAATTTCTAACATAGATTCCGTTCATTTTCCAAAATCTGGAGGTGATGTAGTCCTCCAGAATCTGAGGATCGCTTAAGCAGCTGTGACAATTCCTACATTTATCACAACAAGCTCATATTTTGACACATTCGGTAATTCTGTTTGGTCATCCATAAGGCATAATCTTGGTGATTTTGTTACTGTCATATCCAGCCACTTCCCTGTGTGATCTACAACCTTTTCCCAAAATGGATTAACCAGTTTACACTCCCAGATTGCATGTAGAAATGTTCCAACATAAATTATTAGCCAGTAGACCCGCCCTGTACAACTACAACTAGCAAGAGTAAAGTAAGACCTATGAATTCATATATACTGAGGCAATTTCCCCCCATTGCCTCCTTTATATATTCCCCAGTATTTAATAGTTTTTTGACCATTCCTCATTGCTTAATTCAAACCCTAGGTCCTTCTACCAAATGATCCTCAGATTTTCAAAAGTCCACATTTCTTTTGTCAGAAATCTTTAAAAACTATAATACTGTCATTTTACTTCACACTTCCACTTCCCTATTGGCAAAATGTAGATCAACTTAACTCACTCTAATAACCATATTCCTACATAACACCTACATACACACAAGACCACATACTACTTACCTGCAATGCTTACCTACCCTGGCAATCCAGAGTTCTCGCAAGAGCACAATTTGAATTTGCTCAGCGAGTCACTCTGACAATCAGTAATGATGCTCATTACCCATGCCGTTGGAGCCGAGCTGCACCAATCACATCAGTGTATCTGATATAGGCGGGCCAGAGGCGAGCTAAACAGATGACGACAGAGCTGCGACGACGAAGTCCGGAATCCGTCAGTAAACATTGCAAGATGGCTACGGATGAACACCAGCTGTTTGAAACGGCTTTGGCCGCTACAATGAACGAGTTAGACTTGGCTTTTTCTCTAAAAGAGGAACAGAAGACGGCGCTCGAATCTTTCCTTTGCAAGAAGGATGTTTTTGCTGTTTTGCCGACCAGATACGGCAAGAGTCTAATCTACCAGTTAGCTCCGCTGGTAGCTAAGCCTATACGTCACCCTGTGTATTGTTCTGATTGGTTGTAGTGTTATCCAATTGCGTGCAGTGATATTTTCAAATGCATGCTTGGTGCCGCCCCTCGAGTTGGGCCATTTGCATTACTCATAGCCATACCCTAAATCTTTCTAGATTTGGGTCTGGATTTCCAGGCTAATGCTTACCTGCAATGCTTCAACAAATAAAACATGATTTGTCCAAAAATATGTCCTAAATTTGGTCAAAAGGTGTCTTGAAAGGGTCTTCAAAGGATACCTGTAGACACCCTGAAAAACAGAGGCAAAGTCCTCATGTTTCAGGAGTTGGAACCGGAGTAAATTTGCCATTTTTGCTTCATTAAATACTTCAAATTGTTCATTAATTTTCTGTTGATTGACTAATTGATTGGCTGTTTCAGTACTAAAAGAGATCTATATGGTCTCTGCCTCCAGAGTGAGCAAATCCTTTGAAATTGTGTAATTCTCATACACACCCTCTGCTTTGCTCCCTCATGCTAATCTGCTGTGAAGAATGTTTAATCTCAAGGCGGAAAAGAAAGGACGATAATTCGCTTCTGAGAAACCATCACCCACTCATTTATGTTCTAAAGTAGGCTGCATAATTTATTTTTTGCTAACTGTGTATTTCATTATCAGCCCCAGTTACTGAAACCACACAGTTATTTTACTGAGGTTTCAGTGTCCATTAAAAATCAACATATTTTAACAGGATGTATAATTCTACAGGATCAGTTTACCAGCCCTACTTCATGAGGAGATGTGATGCTGCTGCCAGAAGTGTATGTATGTGTGTGTGTGTGTGTGTGTGTGTGTGTGTTTGTGTGCGTGCGCCAGCTTGGCGTAGCATCAGCCAGGACTGATCCATACTGGGGATTTGTCAACAGCTGGCTGACCAGCGGGCTTTGTTGTTGTGAAGTCTCACTGTCAGCACAGAGAACCTGAGCCCATGTGAGATGATGTGACGTGAGGGGTAACAGGGTCAGATACCAAGGGGTCTCTCTGATAAAACGTCAGGATAGATAGGGCATTCAAACTTTGTTATCCCACCGGGGGAAATTTGGTTGCAGCCAGGTAAACAAACACATTCCTGATTGCATAATGGAACAAACGAGGCAGATAACAAGGACAAACTGTACGAATGTAAGATCTCTTCAAATCAAACAGTGCAAGAAAAAAGCTGAATGCTGTATGTTAAGTGCCTCGGTGCTGGGATCACATGTGTGAATTCAGGCTACTAATTGCTGCACACACAAAAGAGACTTTCTATTATTTTGTCTGCTGTGCAAGAACTCTGTATCTACAGCCTGAAGGTAGGAGCTCATACTCCGCCTGCAGCAATAAAGTTTGACGTGACCTGATTCGACAAGACAGTGCATTTGAAGACTTGTTGGTTACAGCTGCTGGACTAGCATTTTGGGGGCGGTCTAATGCCTGATGCTTAGTAAGCCTGGTATTATCATGTGTTTCGGTGATCTGAACACAAAGTCGGAAATCTTAATCATCAGCCTACACTCCCTTACCTGCCCTACCCAGGAATACTCACTCAATATTGATGGCTCCAACCTAGCCTCGCGTCACCAGGCTCTTCACCCTCTTCACTGTGCTACATTACAGAGAAATACAAAACCGTACTAATGAACCTTCATTAATATAGGCCTATATTTTATCTACAAGTGCACGTCACACACTGAGCGAGCCGCCTGTTAATGACGCTGTGGGCTAATGGGCATGTAGCTACTTCCATGTTTCAGATGATACGTCATGTTTGTAGTCGACCAATGAAGATGAGTTTACATATCACCT